GACAGTGAATCTATAATAAGACAGTGAAGTTAAGTATTTTGCTTAACAGTTAAAAATTAGATTTATTAATTTACTCTCTAACATATCTTCTACCCCATTAAGGTAGTCACATTTATTAAGTACTACACTTTGCCCTCCTTTATGAGCTTTACAAATAACAATGTTTTTATTTTCTCTTAATGAATTAACATCCTTTATATCTACATTTTGTTTTTCACTACCGGGTTGAAATTACTTACAAGTTTATAACATTCAATTCTAATTGTATTTTTAGAATTATCAGCTATCACTTTACCCAGATTTGTTTCTATATCCGTTATTAAATCCTCATTTCTAAGATTTAATTGGTTATAAGCAAAACCCAGACCTTTATTTAATACCTCCAACTGATTGTTATTAAGAACCACATCTGACGTATTCACTATTTTAGGATTTTCCAAAACCCTTTGATAATCTTCAGGTAATGTATCCAATTTGATTTGTTTACCTTCTTTCTTTTTGTCTTTTAATTTTGTGTATTTCTGATCCAATTCATACTTACACTTCTCAATGGCTCTCATCGTAAGATTCCACGTAAAATTTTCCCATTCAATCCAACGTTCACCCTCACTTTCTTCTGCTACCGCTAAATGTAGTTGATAGACCTTATTTTCTTACTTGGCTATAAGACTTCTTTTCCGTTGAATCGTGATGTGCAGTACCTGTTGTTTAATTTTTGTACATAATAGTCTACTTTTCTTCCTTTGATATTACATTTTACTTGTATAAACTTTGGAATAAGATTCTCTCTTTACATCTCACCAAAAAATCAATCGTTTTAGTTTACTCCTCTGTCTTGCAAACTTCTTCGCCGTGGGTTCTGTTTCTAGACTCATAATTATTGTATTTTGGCACTTGTGTATAAAGTTAAAACCATAAATAATAAAATGTTTTTAATTGTGTACCAGTTTAACGTTGAATATTATTTATGATTTTTATAATAAAGTAGCTTTCAACAAATTACATAGCATTATCGTCTTAGAATATTGTACTGCTAATCCATTTTTTTTTCGTTCGGATGCAGTTGGAAGGTCAAAAACTTTGCCCTAGACATGAGATTTTGATTCAGGACCCAAATCATGTAGAAATCAGTGTTTAATTTTTTTACCATAATATTAGTGTGCAAAATTGGCTCTCATTCTGGTGACCATTTTGTTTTTCTACTTTTTAAATATTGAGCTTGACGGGTACAGCTTGAAAGACCGAAGAAATGGATCAAGCACCCAACAAATCCTTTAGAAAATAATATCTGGCAACTTTAACTCAAAAGTGCCTGAACTTTGATATAAAGCGTCATGTTTCAAATTTCAGACTTGTCTATAAAGAGAAGAGGGTAAGTGGTATAATAATTTCTTGGAAAATTACTACTAGAAATAAATAGGTAATGAACATATAATAACTCTATTACCATGACATAGGTATATAATTCGAGATGATATTTGAGCATCAAGTGCCGAATCAAACGCATTCTGAACTTTACAATCAAGTGAAAGGTGAAAATGGCGCTCTTTAAGATACGATAGTTCAGTTCGTGAAAGCAGCTGTGTTAAATTCATTAAAAAGTTCTATATTACGAAAAACTACACTAAAGAGCTTTAGTAAGGCCTCGTATATATAATGTATTTTTTCCTATAGTTTACTAATACTTGTTTATTGTTAAGCACAATGAACTTGCTGTGCTGTTCCAACCATGGGTATCGAAACTCGGTTTTTAGCGATTTAAGCCTTTAGATCTGTCGCTGAGCCACTGGAGAGCAGTTTGGTAATATAAAATGTTACTTTTGCGTAATTAATACTTACAAAAATAATCATTTATACATTCATAAGACATGAGATGTTAAGCCTGTTATATATTTAACACTACGTTTTTTATTTAGTCTGTTAGGGTATTTGAAAACGAAGAGAAGTGTACTGGTGCTTAATACAAGTTAATAGTAATTCAATTCTGAACCCCATGTGATTTTTATCTTTGACTTGGATTCCCTTGAGCCACTTCTTGTCATTAACAGCTGTAAAAATACTTATTACGTTTCAGAACTAATCGCTTGTTCGTTAAGATATGTTTCACCACGTTTACTAAGGAATTGGGAGATTCTGTTATTTTTAACCACCAAGGTTGCAAACGTTCTAAAAGTAAAAATAAACCAATGATGAGCCTTATTTTACTCATATAAAAGGGATGAGTTAGAAAATAATACAATTGAAATAAAAAGAGAAGGAATGGAAAAAGTTCTTAATATTTTAAGATATGCGAATCTTAATCATGTCAAAAAAAAAGATCACTTTCCATCACATCAAGACCGTTCAGGATAACGGTCGCTTAAACATATGCATCATAAACTGTGTCAATTGTTTCAGCGCAATAAATGTGAATTATGAAAAATAAAAATTTAACTTTATTTTCTCAATTGTAATTACATGCGCAAAAAATCATCTCTTATAAATGTAAAATGGTTTGTTTTACTCAGTACATTATGTAACTGCCCTTTCAACACAAAGAGGTTTGTAAGAGTGCCTTTGATTTTGAAGTTCCAAAAGTATGCATAGCCATTAATACAAGTATATGAGCATTGTGTCTTAGATCATCACAATTTTTTGAATAATTATTTTTTATTTCATAATTTTATTGACAGGTTAAGGATGATAATATTATAATCATAAAAAAAGAAGCCTATGAAGATAAACGAGGCAATGCCTAGCATTATGTTAACTTGTATTATTATAAATATATGTTTCGTCCAAAACCATGTTGAAAACACGTTTTACCAACTTGCGCGTATTAAATATTTATTAAAGCATGTTTCATATTTACAAGGCTTCCTCTTTAACGTAATTCATTTCACTAGTAACTCTAACAGACATTGTACTTACATTAATGTACACGTGCACACACACTGAAAATCCATTAAAAAACCTCTAGGGACGTAATCCTAACACAGACTAACGTATTACGAAAATTATAGGATTTTACAAATTCATAAGTTTATATCCTGCATTACATTCGAGTAGAAAATATCATAGTTTCATTGACTTATTTAAGAGATAAACTCGTATTCTTCTTCATGGCCTTCCTACTGCTATTTCGTAATTTTAATCAAATTTCAGTTACATACGATTTATCTGGGTGGTAAAAATTCATAATATTGGAATGAAATTCATTATTATTATTGTTTCTGGCTCTCACTTGAAAAAAAATCTATGTGTATGGAGCACAAAAACTGTATATTATTGTTTAAACAGGGTAGATCAAGGAACATAGACTTAATTTATTATTGAAGCCAGTTTATAGTTTTGATACAAAGTTTGTGATCTCATAAAATATTTTATCCTAGCTTTACATTCAGTTGTGATTTATAGAGTTAATAGTATGCATAATGATATATTGAATTATTGTTAGCTTGTTTTCCCTCGCCAAGATTGGAATAAGTACTGAAATTCAGTGTGAACTTAATTCTTAAAAACATGCGAGATATGCTTGATATATAAATTTCTAAAGGTCTTGTTAGACAAGCAGACATAGGCATTGATGTGTTAAATTGTAAACTGTCTGTTTATTGCTCTCTCTCTGGTACCAGAACAAAGGTGTGTAAATTGTAAACTATCTGTTTCATGCTCTCTGTGGTACCAGAACAAAGAACAATTGTGTGTTAAATTGTAAACTACCTGCTTCTTGCTCTTTCTGGTACCAGAACAAAGAAAGTTGGTGTGTCTGTTATATTTGTCTTTTGCTTGCATATCAAAGATCATTCGGGTAAATCAACCAAGGAATACGAAAATGCTTGGTTATGGCTTCCTTCTCCTAAACGGCTAGTAACGCATTAATCGGCTCTACTACACACGATGTATCCATGTGAAAAACGTCGAAGTTTTGGTGAGCAAGGAAAAAGATACGGTGTTTTGTTGATTATCGGCAGTTTTTGTTTTCATGCATGTTAACGGATTTAGTATAATCTAGGTTTGAATATTTCCTTTATAAATTCAATGCTTATGCTAGCTTTTAAAGAGTTTCGACGAACCATGAACTGATAAGGTAGTTTAGTATTCTGTTCATTTCGCCTGTTGTTGGGAACTTTCTAAATAAACTATATAACATTTTTGGGATCTAACTATATCAAATCAACGATTTGACTAAGTTTTAGCCTTAATGGCTTTGGAAATGTGTCCATTTAAAATACAATTCGTAACAGCTCTAGCAATTCGAACTTTTCCTTACTTCTATTATATAGCGGATCTTTTTTTTTCCTTCGAATCGACTACTCCTCAAGTATTCCACGGTAAGAATCCGTGATTAAGTATGATACTAATAGCAGCTTTCACGTTTTGCATAACAAATTATTGCAATTTTTTCCTGTATATACCTCTTGGGATAGGACGTAATTTAATTAAATGAACTAATCGATTTTTCCGCCATATGGTGCCTGTTCTGACTTCGAAGCGCTTTCATTTCATTGTTAAATGTTCTGAGAGTAACAAAATATAACCACAAAAGTACATGATATACAATCGATTCGAAGCTCAAATCTCTCAGTGTTTTCATTTACAAGTTAAAAACCTTCGTAAAGCATATCTCTGAAACATTTTTTTATGTTGTTGATAAAGTATGATTATAATACCTTAGAATTAGTGATATTTATCTCTTTCTAGAAACACAGAGTTATTCAAATTAATCAACCAGCGCTAAGTGTTATTTAAAACCATTACTGATTGTCTTACTTGTATTCTGTGACGAAACTGTTACATTATCGTCAATAATCCATGATGTCACGTACACATATTCAGATACATGGCTGGGAACGTAACATGGTAACACAGCTGTTGTACCTTTGATGACTTGATGGTCGAAGACACGGATGACATAAGGATTTTGCAAAACTGAAAAGTTAATCGAAAATACATAAATAATAACGTACATAAAAGTTCTAACACTATATCACTAGACCATTGAATTCACACAATATTAGTTTGCAACGTATTTCTGGTCCCATATTTTTCAACAACGCTTTTGTTAAAAGATATAATTGAAAAAAAAAATGTCACATCTACTACGCTACTTCCCACATTCTCTCACAGAGTGCGCTTATTATTTCCAGTAAAACCGTGCTTTAACATGAAGTTATATTAGAGTAAAACATGAAGCAGCGTATTTATTAACTTCCAAATTCCATTTCAAAACATACGCATGTTGAGAGTGTCCGAAGCTCAATATTAAACCATCACTATCTGTTTTGATTTTTCTTAATTACTCCACGTAAGAAACCGCCATGTTTTTAGAGTACTTGAACGTTTTAAAGTGTGTCAACTGCTGAGCTAATGTAATAACCAAATTATTTGTCAGACACGTTTTAATTCTTGATTTATGTAGATATAACATAGCTGTGTATCTACACATGTTGAATATCAAGAGACACCACAAACTACATTTTGAGTTTATTGATTAATGTGTAGTGTTCACGTTAAGTTGGAAAACGACGTAAATCCACTAAGATATATTACGTGGAATACTTACCCCCATGACTGTAAACACAGAAGTTAAGGTTAACAATAGTTTGTAATCTCTCTTAAATAACAATTTTACACTTACTATTAATGATATCATTCGGATACTGATGCTGTTAATTATAAAATAATAAAAGATTAATGCGTTCAAAATTATCTAGATTTAGGTCGATAGATTATTTTTTACAAACTTCTATGTTAAGTTAATTCATTGGGGATATATATATATTTTAATGACAGTTTCTGTAGTTCAGAAACAAGAAGAACGTAACATCACTGTCATATTACCGAGGCATATACAATATTAAATAAAAGTTTTATCTGCTCACGATTATAGTAATTCATATTTTCTACACACTAGTTAAACTGTTACAAGTTGGAACTCGCAATGAAGACTACTGTTGGCTTTTATTCTGCCTACTGTGTACACGGTAATAGTGGTACCTCTACTTTATACACACTAGTTAAACTGCTACAAGTCGGAACTTGCAATGAAGACTACTGTTGGCTTTTATTCTGCCTACTGTGTACACGGTAAAGTGGTATCTCTACTTTCTACACACTAGTTAAACTGTTACAAGTCGGAACTCGCAATGAAGACTACTGTTGGCTTTTATTCTGCCTACTGTGTACACGGTAATAGTGGTACCTCTACTTTATACACACTAGTTAAACTGCTACCAGTCGGAACTCGCAATAAAGACTACTGTTGGCTTTTATTCTGCCTACTATACACAAGCTAATTTGTGACATCTTAACTAATTATTTTATCACGATTGTGAATGCATACATTTAGACATATCTGCATATACATTTTTGTAGTTGAAGTTTAACAACAATTTATTTTATCTTCACAATGTGATTGCAGAGTTGCTGAAGAAATGGTATTATTTCAAATTATAGTCATGTATAGTCAAAGTATGAAATGACGCAATGTGTAGAATCCCAAGTTGCTTTATGTTGCGGCTTTTTTTTAATATGACTTATTGTTTGAGCTAAAACAGGGTTTTCGTTCAAGAGCATTTGAATGGATTTCAATATTTTTGTGTGTTTACGTTAACCCAAGACACTTACACCGTAATCGTTATTATTTAACTAGATCTTTAGATAAAGGCAACTCATATAGGGAGGTCATATGCAAATTGCTAATATTACACACATTATCAATTAGATTACATGGTATTGTAAGGTGTGTTACCTTTAAGAATGATAACGTGGGAGAAAGAGCCGGAAGTAACAATGAGACCGGAAAACACTCTCGTTCTAAGCTGAGATAAATTACATAACCTTTTGGAACGAGAGTGACCGATGAAGAGGAAGAGAGTTTTTTGTTTGTTTGTTTTTTATCAATTGTTGTTCTTTCTCATCACTGCTGATGTGGCATGATTTCGAGAATAAATATTTACTTATAACTAAACAGCTAAGTAGACGCAGGTTGAATTGATTACTACATATCACTGGATCTTGGATTAGTATTTATCGTACATTTTGTAAGGGATAAAGTAAGGATCCGCTGACTGTGGTCGTTACGTGTTCGCTTCAACAAACGCTCACTCCAGCGTTCGCGTTTGGTCTTGGTGTGCTTACTTATTGGAGTTGCTTCCCCTAACGGTGAATAATGTCGAAATACAGGTGATTTTGAAAGCCATTTTAAAGCAGATTTTACATATTTGGCAATCAAACTTTGTAAATGTGTGGATAATTTCACGTTGCTCTAGAATTACAAGTAGGAAAAGTTGGTGATTTAGATTTTGCAGACCTGTTCTAGAGGTGCATAATGTCAAGATACAGCAACACATCTACCATTTTTAATTTTGGAGGAAAGTAATAAACATGGACATTTTATGTATAATTTGTAAACTGTATAAACAAAAAGAATTACAGCAGTTTTGTTTACTCTTTTCCTTTTTTTATATTTATGTTGATTTATTACGACTACGGAAATCGCAACTCTTCATAAAAACAGGAAAGTGTTTATTTAAAAAACGGACACAATATTTTAATTGGTTCGATTGTAATTATAACAAGTATACCCTATAGCAATTAAACAATGAAACTCTCACCATGTCTTGAATCAAAAGTTATAATAAGAAAATGATATATTTAAAATACTCGGTAAATAAAGAGGGGATTTACTGATGAACGACTCTAAATGCAGAAATATATATAAAATTGAAAATAATGATGTATATGAATTGTAATTGGATATTTCAACTTGAATAGTTCCTTATGTGACGCATTTAAATAGATTGGTCGGAGACTTCTAAGGTTCAGGTATAGCAGTCCGAATCAGCATCACCAGCCGTTACAAGGGCTTTGTCTGGCTCTTTGAACCAAATAACTAAACTGACTACCACATTTATAATGCTTTCATAGCTGAAAACGCAGAATATGTTTAGTGTCATTGTGACTCAAATCTTGAATTCTTCGATCCGCAGGCTGGCATGCTAACCACTGAGGCACGCCCGCACAAGTAAAATAGCTACACAAATGACCTAACAACGCAATCATGAGGATAACTAACTGTGGGGATTCAGTAACAGCGTGTTAGATTGCATATCTACACGTCAAATTTACGTGTCTCTGTGCAGCTGTTTCTCCTTTTGATTAAATCATTTCCTAGAATTTCTCAGCTTATTTAGAAAAAAGCTGATTTATATTAATCAATCGATAGAACTCTGCTTCATTCACTTATTGGTAGATGCATTTTCAATATTTTCTTTTATAATATTGAAATAAGGTTTGTTCTTTGTTTGTTTTCAGATATTCGCGCAAAGTTTCTCAAGGGCTATCTTCACTAGCTGTTTCTAATTTTGAGCTGATAAACTAGAAGTAAGGCAGCTAGTCAACAGCGCCCAACGCCAACTATTGGACTACTCTCGTCTGATCGAATAGTGGGATTTGACCATGACACTTATAACGCACCTACAGCCCCAAAGTGCAGAGTGCGATTTTTATTTATTTTTTGGCGGTAAATGGACACAGAAGATGGATCCGCAAATCCATAGTCCGACATGCTAGCTATTGGACAACGCTCGCACCTTCAAACAGTAAGAGCAGATATGAAAATAACAATAAGAATAAAAAACTTGAAATTATTGTGGACAATAAAGAGATTAATTGTCATAGTTTTTATTTTGTGACACTATAACTTTAATAAGTTTAGGTTTTAGATAATTAATTGTCTGTGGTATACCTGAAAAATATCACATTTTCTCAGCGAAATTGTTAATTCACTGCATTTGACAACTGTCTCCTAGCTTCAAAAGGCATTCGACTTTTTTTCTGCACAGTAGTAACTCCATATTAAGAAGATGATTTCATTAGTTTTGTATCAGCAAGTTGCTGTTATCATTTTTTCATAAAGCTCTTTTTATGTCCGTTTTCACCTGAGTAATTTTTACAGCCTTGTTCTTTTGATTTACAAATGTTAAAAATCTGAATATGAAAGACACGATTAATCTAATCTCAAAAATATTACATCAGAGAAAAATCTGTACAGTTTTTAAGTTACAATATAGATATCAGCTGCTGTTCAAAAGTTTGAACATTAATAGTTGAACAAAATTTACTTCAAAGTTGTTCAAATCCTTCAATAAAAAACTTTGACAACGTCTATTTCGAAGTAGTATTACGCTGCAGCTGTCGACTTTGAAGATGAGTTAGAAACACTGGCATCGATCTGTTAACGGGCGTGGTTTTGATGAATTATGTACTAACTCTGTACATTGGACTATCCATTATAACATTGTAAAACAGTTCAAATAGAGAATAAACTGTAGATGTCGTGTTTGATTTAGGTTTACATATAAATTGGTTTAACCAGACAGCGCACTAGAAGTCCGTGTTTCCATTACATTGAAACAGTTTATTATGTTTAACAACGACAACTCGTATAAGAGTGTATAATTGAATATTACCGAAGCTAGAGAAATTTTTATGTTGCTTTATTTCAGAAAAGGTTGAAAAACGAAAATTACTTGGTAAAAATGTTTTATGGATTATTGCTTTCATTTTCGTTGCAACATGTTTCTTTCTTCCTTTTTTTTTTTCGTCTTATTCACACGAAAGTCTTAGCAGAAAAACTTGAACGTATTTAAAAAAAAACTGTGACAGAAGCGTTCCATGTAAAACGCTTTCTAAACACCTCAATTGACTCTGTAATTTTAAAGCAGTCATCTACTTTAGAGAGATTAGTAAAGAAATGAAAATAATGAAATTATAAAATATTTGTACCTGATGATAACATAATCTTGTCGAAACGTTATACATTTATAATAAAGTTTTTTTCCATATCCATTCAAGCCCTTAAAAAAAAGAATACGCAGGTGCACGCCCTTGGAACTTCCTTAGTATGCATCCAAAGTTTCAGGTCT